ATATATATATATGTATGTATAATTGACATATATGCAATATGCACATAACTGATTATAAATGTATATGTGATTTGTTTCATGTCTGCAATTATTTAATGGATTGTCTGAGACAGTATTGTTTAATGCTCAAAAAGCTTTTTTCCCATTTGTGGAGAGGATCTCTAAATTGGCAATAATCTTCCTTTTCAATTAATTTACCCCAAAGATCAAAACATAATTTTGTTCTTCTTTTGCCCTAATATGATAAACAGAATTATGCACTCACAAATACTGAAAATATCTTCCAAAATTATGAGCTTTCTACAACAAATGACCTGGTGTCAGCAAATATAACTTACTTAAATTTCTTTGTAGGAAGTATGTGTGGAACAGTGGGATATTTTGTATAAATCTTGTGTGCTCGCTGTAGCAGCACATGTACTAACACTGGATAGACTATGGTATAACCTTTACAGTGACATTATTATTTAGCTCCTACCACTATCTTCCACACAAAGATCTCAACATTATGAACCAATGGACAATTTGTCCAGGTTCCATTCCTCCAAAGTAGTGAATTTTATCAATCTGACTTCAAAGCCTGGGGTTTTTCATCACCAAGTGATCCCACCCCATTTGTGGAATGTCCAATAACATTACGTCAGCACCTATTCCACTGGATTCCCGGAATTGCATTTACCTGTACGGCTTTCTACCTCTTCTATGTTGTTATAATGATGTGGCATACTGGAAATTGCCTGTGTTGAACATTGTTGACCTTAAGTTTCCCACACTGCATTGAAATAGTCATAATCTTGAAAAAATTAGTCATCACCTTGAAAAAATTCGTCATCATGTCAGTTTTCAGGTCAGGAATCAGGGGCACAACTGAGATTTCCTTGAGCTCATAAAAGAATGTATTACAGTTGGATTAACACAGTGTCTGTGACCGGCTTTGGAAATGGGACTCAATAGAAAGGAATGCAGAAACAGCCTTATTTACACAATGCGCCTCCTAGACATTAGGACGGCAGCTGCAATGAGAGTGTGCTCAAGCCTCGGGACCAGATCTCAAACCTGGCTTTTCATGTAACTTTACTTTGTCTTTGTCTTTGACAATACTCAGGTGACCTGTTTCATTGCCATGAGATTAACGAAAGGGTTTCAGGTAGCTGTTCCTTCTAGGCTGTCCCTAGCATAATATGCCAGGAGCTACGTGTAGGAGTGGCTAGGCAATTATGATTAGAAGTGTATCATTTGGCCACAAACCTCCTCTTGAAGGTATACACCGGTTATGAATCATCTACCTCATAAAAACCACCATAAATCAGATTCCTGGAAAGTTTGCCTTTGGGATGATAGTCTGCCATCTTCCGATCAGCAAGCTCATTATAATAAAGTACTTTCTCTACCACCATCTTGTCTCTGGAGTAATTGGCTTTTACCATGCAATGAGCAGACCAAACTTTTTATGCAGTAACAGTAATCAAAATTTAAATTAAGTGAAATCAAGAACTAATAAAAAACTATGAGCATTGGGCCGGGGGTTTAGCTCATTGTTTCTGCTGCCTGTCTCACAAGTGCAAGGACCTGAGTTCGATCCCCCGTACAAAAAAGAAAAAAAAAATATACATATATATATATATATTTCCTCTGTTATATTGTTATAAACAATAAAGACAAAATAAATTTAACAGCTTTAACATTTTTATATCTACTTCCCCCAGTATACTAGGATCATATAAAAGCTGAGTAAAAAAAAACCATCTACTTTACCCTCAGCCTGGACATGGAGAATGGAAACCTGGTCTTCTGTCCAGCAGATATGATTTTGCAACTGCCCTGTCTTTATGAGCAGCATAATCATAAAACCTCTGCTTTGAAACATCCTTGCAGTCCTCCGTGTGTATACAGGTTTTTTGTTTGTTTGTTTGTTTCTGGTACCGGGGATCAAACTGAAGATTTGTGCTTGCAAGGCAGGTGCAGCACCATGGAACTACACCCCTGGCTCATCCTCAATATCAATACGTTCTGATTTTGTTCTCCTCAGATATGGCTTAAGTTTTCTGGAGGAGGCAGAACTCCTTACCAAGGGAAGGAATAAATTTGATTTTGTTTCAGACTTCACTGGTGACACGTCCTAAAGCAGCTTTCCAAAGAGCCTATCACACTTCTAAACGGCTAAACATTTTTGGAAAGAAATTCATATATAAATATAGCTCTCGTGATACAGCAAGTCACTTGTAATATTATCAGTGTCACTGACATTCTAACTACACATTGCTGTTGAACTTAATTCTTTGATAAATTATATTTGCAACATATAAAAGAACAAATTATTTCCACCACGTTTACTTGTAATATAATTGATGAAAATTTATCAATCCATTGTTTTCAAAATTGTCAATTAGGATTTTTGCCCCCAAATAGGAACTGAAACATGGCATTAGTTTTCCTATCTAATGGTATTTCTTTCCACATATAGATATTTCCAGAGGTTTTTTATTGTTGTTGTTGTTTTTGAGGGGGAGCAGTACTGGGGATTAAACTCGGGCCCTTGTAACTTGCAAAGCAAGTGCTGGAACCCCTGAGCCAAACTCCCAGCCCCTCCAGAGCTATGTTTTGAACCAAAATGGTTAAATCAAACTTTCTTAACATGGGTCTTACCTTTTCCAGTTTTGAAAGAGCAAGAGAATAACAGTCTTTGGCTCTGAACTGCATGAATCTCATGTTTGCTGGGTGAGTAAGCTCTGTGATAATACTGAGACTGGAAAACAACCTACATCAAAAGAAAAAATTTGCATTACATTAACAGTCCAATATGGTATTTTTTTATAACAACATATTTATGAGTGAGTGATTGCTAGCCAGGCTTGAAAATATATCCAATCACAATAGCAAGAATGCCAGATAAAATGTTCTCTACAACATTAAGAAAAATAAAACACTGTTTTCCAAAGAATATTTTAACCAACATTTTAGCACAACAAAAAACACAAATTTAGTAATTTGGCTTTTATCAGACAATTTCTTATATAATTATGAAATAGCACAAAAGAAAAACTTCTAAAGCCAAATTTTGACATTACAAGATTATTTTCTATGTGATATTAAAAAAAAAAACTTGTAAGACAAGTATGTTGACTGGCAAAAATATTACAAATGATGACTTCTTTTCCATTACGTGAGCTCTTTGATATTCCCCCCTATTTTTTCAGTGCACAATTCTTAAATATCAAATCTTGGTGCAGTGATTTTAGAAGAAGAAGAATTATGTTAACTTTAATAAAATTTCGCTGTAATGAATTGGTAGTAAGGTAAAGCCTTGCTGGTGGTGTTATAAAGAGATCCTGACAATGAGATTCACATCCCATATCATCCCCAGCTTTCTTCCTATTTGGCTTGCTCTCCAAATATACGCACACATGTGCAAGTATAAAAGCATACTCAAAATTCGTTTCATCCACAGGAAAAGGAAAAAATAATGCCAAAAATATCTTTCTATTTTTGCTGCTGATCTTTGCCTCATAGCTATGTGGCACCAATAGCTTTCCTGACTCATGTTTTGTGATTCTGTGTAGCATATTTACTTCCAGGGATACTCTGTTAAAGACATCTAACATGTCTTTAAAATACATTAAACTACATTATCACCACTTAATTCTCCTCATTGAATTGAACCCAGCCCTTGAACTGAGGTATTAGCACTGACAGAAAATTATAATAAAAGATAAACCTGTGTGTGATTGAAAAACAAATCAACCTGTGATGCTCTCATTTTATGGCAGTTCCAGAAGTGACACGTTTGATTTGGTGTCATTTAAAGGAATATGCTTCTTCTTCTTCAATTTTTTTTAGTTTATTAGTACAAGTATGCAGTACATACTGTCTATATTCCTTGTGTGGGGTTGGTACATGTACATTACGCATCTTCATTCCATTCCCATCCCCTTTCCCTTCCTGCCCTCCCCACTCTACCCAGCCCGGAGAGCCCTGACTTAGAGCCTTGGTGCTACCCATGAGTTTTTACCTCTCCTCAGGTGTAATTCCCTCACGCTGATGAATGAACTGCCAGGACAGCTCCCTCCTGCCAGGCAGAGTAGGCCTGCTGCACATCAACAGCCTGGAGGGGGGGGGTCTGTCCCCAGCAGGTGGCCCTGCCATCCCTGATTACCTTTCTTTCAGGGATGTCTGCACAGCTCTTTAGTCATCAGTCCAGTTAAGGCATGAGAAAGAACTCTTTCTTTCAAAGTTTTAGGGAAAACTTCTATGCTCTCTTGGTTATCTCAATGAACTAGCACTGCAGTTTAAACTTCATCAAGTCCCTTGAGAACTATGATATAAGGTGTTTGTATAAAATACATGCTTTATAAAGAAAGAAAGGTAGCCAGCATTAAGTGATTCAATTTTAAGTACAAATGCTATTGTATTTCTTCATTTAGCCAATCCGTAAGAAGGGTAACTAGAAAAATATCAGCAAAACAACAATCAGAATATAATTTTTTGTTGGTTTTTAATTTTGAAAATACAGTAATTTAAATGCGCAAATGACTGCTATTTTCAGGAATTCTGTGACTTTAAGATGTTTTAGGAAATTCTAAATATTAGATTCTTTAGAAGGGAGGGTGGTATGAAACAGAGATATTATTCTGAAACATTTAATACAGTGACACATAATTCGGACTATTAGTTGTGCTAGTATTTCTCTTTTCTCTACTTCTTTCCATTTCTCCTATTAAAATGCATTTTTTGTTTGCTTTCCTCTTCAATTTTTACATTTTGAAATCCCCGTCATTATTTAAATTTAATCTCAAATCCAATCGAGATAAAATTTTAAATCCTTTATAAATCAAGTCAAAATACTTCTTGCTCAGTGCTTAATTTGTGACACTTACTACACTACTTCTTGCTACACTGTCAGGGATTCTATCCACTCATGAACTCTCTTACTAAGCTGTGACACTAGAAGGATTAAGTTCCCTCTCAGTGTCTAGTACTACAAAGTATCTGTTTAGTTAATGAATCTTTAAAAAAAATAAGTGATTTCTCAATTATTGTTTATGCAATAAACAATATGTTTTATAATACATGAGTTAGCAAACAACATGTTGATGAAGTGCATTAAACAGTTTAGTTGGATAAATAATAATACATGAGTTTTATAATACATGAGTTAGCAAACAACATGTTGATGAAGTGCATTAAACAGTTTAGTTGGATTAGTACATAGAGAAACACTGTATATATTTCACATGACCCATTTTCAGTAGTTTTGTTCTTTTCATTGGAAAGCCATCATTGAGAGCAAATTCTATAAATTAAATTTTGATTTTTTTGTTTTGTTTTTTTACAGAAACTCTTTAAAAATATAGTGGCCTGAGTGGGAAAAAAGTCACTTGACTTTTTGGTCAGCAATCCCAAAGCTAATATCATCTTGGAGTTTCAAAAATATTTATTTAAAATATTTTAAAAAGAGAATTATCACTATCGACATTTTCCATAACAAGTGTTATCACAAACAATATTCAATAATCTGTGACAATAGAAACTAAAAAGAATAAACAATACCAAAATGTATCAATAAATATAAAGTCTCCTAACTTCATTTTGCTCTATTCTTTGAACTCTGGAAAGGAAAATGAATGGACCCAAGTTTCACCTCTTTGTCTTTTCCTCTTTTATCTTTTGGAAGGTTTAAAAAAGTTCATCAAGGCAGCTCATGCCTTAGCCAATCAACCTCTGCAGCAGACTGTGAAGAGGTGGAGCCCCGTTGTGGGTACCTGCATCCCCTTCACAGCCACACACACACAAACACACACACCATGCACCTCTGGCCTCCTGGCTGTGCTGGTACTGGGATTCACATCAAAGAAGCACAGGGGAGGTCATAAAGGCCACTGTCGTGAGCTCTAGCTTCAATTTTAATTTAATTCACACAGTTAAAGGTGATAGATTAATAACTACCACAAATTGTTATTTTCTAAGCTGTGCTTGATGCTTCTGTGTTCCTGATTGAATCACTTGGGCTAAGATGCTGTGATTGATCTAATCAGTTGTCCTTCCTGGTATAATGAAAAAGATATTACCTCAGAGTCATTAGAAACTCAAAATCTAAAGACAAGCTATAACAGGAAGATTAAAAACTATTAACCCAAGTATCAAACAAAGGACAGTACCAACAACAAAAATAGAAATGGGAAGACATTTAAACAAGGTTCAAGCACAAACACAGACTTCCAGTTTACCAAAGGCAAATTCTGGGGAAAACGAGGTGGAAAAGTCTGATAATCAACCACCTTGACACCCTGAACTGATAGCACAGGAAGGAACAAAACAGATGAATGAGTCTCTAGAAAAATTTGAAACAGAAATAATTTCCCAGATAACTACAAAGATGGTGATCAGAATGAATGACATGACTAGAGACTCAAGAACAGTAACAGTCCAAAAAAAAAAAGATGAGCCGAGGACCATGATAGAAGCCCTGAATACACAGCATAAGAAAGAACTGGAAACTATGAATGCCCAACATAGGAAAGAAATGGAATCCATGAAACAGATTCAAACAGATATCCAAGAGATTAGGAAGAAAAGGGCTAAAGGTGTAGGGAAAGTGGGAAGGGTAGGGGAAAGGGAATAAGGGAAAAGAAAAAAAATATGAGAAAATGAAAACAAAGTGTTTGTAAATGGGGAGGGGAGGAGGGGTGAAGGGAGGGCAGGGACAAGGGGAAAAAAATGAGAACCAAGACCTGTCATGTAAAGGTACAAGATCCCAATAATGAATATAACTGTACTGTGTATCTAAAATGTATCAATAAACTCAATAAAAAGAAAAACCTCTATTGAAAGTTTACATTACAGACTGAGCCAATCTGAACACAGGATATCAGATATAGAAGACAGGATAGAGATCAGTGACCATGAAAAGAGGGATCTCTTAAAAATAGTAAGGGAACATGAGAAATCAATCTTAGAAATCAACAGTTCCTAGATGATAAAGAGAAGAAAAATATAAGACTGATTGGAGTCCATGAAAAAGTAGAAGAAAGTATCAATGACATAAAAAAAAGAAACTGTTCACAGAATTAATGACAGAAAACTTCCAAAACAGAGCAAAATAATTTGACATACAGATAAGTGAGACATAATAGGACTTCAACTAGCCATGGTCAAAATAAGTCTACACATAGACATACAAAAATCAAGATCCCAGAATCCCAACAGAAGAACAGAATATTGCAAGCGGTTAGAGAAAAGAAACAAATCACATGCAAAGGAAAGCCCATCAGAATCACAGCAGACTTTTCAACACAAATCCTGAAGTCAAGGAGAGCCTGGAGTGAGGTATTTCAAGCCCTAAAAGAAAAAAATCTAGTTTGATGTATCCTGCAAAACTATCTTTCAAAATTGATGGGGAAATAAGATAACTTCCATGACAAGGAACATCTGAGAAACTTCATGAATACCAAACCACCGCTACAAACAATTCTAAATAATATCCTTATAAAAGACAATGAAGATCACAACTCCATGAGGCCCAACAGAGCAAATCCAGCAGGAAATGCAAGAAATTAAAGGGAGAGGGGGAAAAATTAAAAAGAGCCAATGACAGGATAATAACACAGTGATGATAAGTCAATACATATCAGTTATAACCATTAATGTTAATGTTCTCGATTTACCAATCAAAAGAAATTGACTGGCAGAATGGATTAAGAAGCAAAATCTAACAATATGTTGTGTACAAGAAATGGACCAAGTCAAAAAATAAACTCATAG